TAGTAAAGCTTACATAAAGCTGTCCTTTTTATTTTTTATTTGTTTTTGCAACAAAAGTAAAGTGGCTAATTATTTTCATTTCAAGGGCCAATTTGCAAATATTTTAATTTTTTTTTAATTATTTCTATTTTTAAATATTTGCATTTTTATACTTTTATTTGTAAAATTTGTACCATATTATTATTTTTAAATATTATTGTTTTTTTAAATTCTTTAAAAACGTTTAAGGGTATTAATGAAACGTTTAAAAACTCACGAGCATTTTTTTAATCCGTCTTTTTGAATATTTTTTATTTATTTTAAATTTTAAGATATTTTCTAGATTTTTTTTAAAAAAATTATAAGTATTTTTTTTTATCTAATTAAACTATTTTAATTTCATGATTAAATAGAGAGTTTATTTAATTATTAACACAAGAGTACAAATTAAAAAGATGCTATTTTTATTTAATATGATTTGAATATTAAATAATTATGATTAGCATTCATTACGAACCTACCTATTTAATAATGATAAAGTATTTCAATTTTAAACTTTTCAGTGCTCATCTATAAATGCAATAATTCACCTATGAAGCTATAATAATAAATATTATTTATGAACTTATAGTCATTGGAAATTAGAATTTTTTTCCTTCAAATAAAAAATTTAATTACTAAATATTTTTAAACTATATGATATTGTAAAATAATAATTATATAATAATATTTTTAGTAGTTGATTTATCATTAAAATTAGCTGTAAGTTTTGGAAATTAACAGAAAGCACAAATCAGAATCGTCCAAACCGACAATCTTGATTTTGGAAAGGAAAAAATGAAAAATGGATGGAGCCTGGCAGAAGTAACGTACCTCCAGTACTGTGTTCTTCAGAAATTTTGCTGCAGTTTTTGCAGTTGATGAACACAGAATCGATTCAACAACGTTTCTTCGAAGATCTTGGTGAGATGATTTTTCTGTGTTGAAACTTTTGATTCTGAAAAAATTTGACGTTAATTTGGCGAATTCGAGTTCTTCCCTTTTGTATACCTTGTGAACGAGAAAATTCCAGATGAAATCGACATTCTCAGTACGCCGTTTTTGTTTCTGGATTTTTCTGTTTCTTTGTTGTTGCCGTTTGAGGGACCGATTCCGGCTGCCATGGATGAATCCAGAGCTTCAATTTCTTCGTCTTCTTCGTGGTTGATGTTCAATACATCCGCAACAGAGAGATTCTCGCCTGGACATGGAGAGGAGTGATGATCTTCTGAAACTGATCTAATCGAATGGACGGATTCTTCTCTTCTCTCTGTTCTTCCGTCTCCTTGATCGAAACTTCTAGGATTTGGACTCGGATTCGGATTTTCTTGTTCTTGATTAGTTGAATCGCTTACGATTTCAACTACGACGGATTCCTGGCTTACGTTTGCGGATAAATCTTGGACGACGACCACAGCGGCGTCGCTGCTGTGGCGGTAACCTAGCGCCGTCACGGGCGGTGGTGGAGTCTCCTGAGGAGGAGGATTCGTTGAAGCGATATTGCTGCGACAGAGAGGGCAACTCGAATTGGATTTCAGCCAAGTATCAATACAGGGGAGGTGAAAAGCGTGACTACATTTAGGCAACAATCGCAAACTCTCATTCTCTTGAAATTCACTCAAACAAACAGAGCAATCGCTTCCTTCGATCAATCCTTCGCCCTTCTTGAACTTGTAAACCGAGATCGATTTAATCAGCGCCTCATCCAATCCAGATCCCGCACTAGACCTCCGCGTTTCGTTAATCGCTCGATTCGTCTCGAAACTCTCCTCCGGTCCTCCGCCTCCGCCGTCGCCAACACTCCGTCGGCAATATTTCGAGACGATCGCGTAGTAAGTCACGAGAACAAACGCGCTCGCCAAGATCCCGATCACTGCGACTATAAGTGGCGAGAAGAACGTACTGGAATCGTCGCTATCGTCGAGGCCGAAGAACGGCGGAGGCGGCGGGAACAAGAAGGCGCACCACTGCGGACAGAAGGCGGTGCAAATTTGTTGAGAACAGTCCTTGAAGTTGAACGGATTGAACGGCGGAGAGGGATCCGAGATTCCGATGGATTCCATGTGAAGCAGAATCTGTAGAGGAAGAAGATCTTTCGAAGTCGCGAGTCGCTGGGAAGGTGGTCGAGGTTCAGCCGGACGGCGGCGGTGGTGGGCAATTTATTGAGGGCTAATATTTCTCGAGGGGCGGAAAAAAGCAACGGCTGAGGTTCGGGAAACAGACAAGTCTCTTGCCTTATGTTCCCAACTTTTTCTTTCTTTTTCTCCCGTGGTTCTTTTTTCTTTTTCTTTTTCTTTTTTACATTCTCTCATATATATCTTTTATTTATATATATATATATATAATATTCATTCGCAGTTAGAGCTTATAGCTCGACATTCACCTGTATTTCTTACGACACAATCATGTTGTCAACTTGTCTTGAATTTGACAGACTAACACGGATTCTTTCATGCAACATTTATCTGCATTTCCGACAACATCACAGTATTTACTTAGCTTAACCCCACATACTAACACGAGTTTTGAAAACGTTTTATTTTCATTCATCTTCTTAAATCACTATAATTCAGATGTCGTCTCAATTTATTCCTTTATTTCGTCACAAAATTTCATCAAACCTAATAAAATATTAAAATTTTGTCCAAAATTCTAAAATTAGAAATGAGTTCCTAAATTTGTAAATAAATAAAAAATATATATATATAACAAAAAAAAATTATAAGTGAGATTAAAGGGGTTTTTATTTTAAATTTTAAATGCTATTTTGATGATTAAATTAAAAATAATAATAATAATGTTATTTGGTTTATTTTACTTTTTGGGCTTTATTTTATTTGAGTTTGTGTACTTTCATTTGTCCATCAAGTTTAGTTGAAAATTTTGGTTGTTGTACTTTTCAAGTGGTCCTAGACTATATTTGTTTTATTTCATTCTCAAATTATTAATATTTTATTTTTTTTTATCTATTTTATATTTTGTCAATTTTGGTTTATTATAGTTAGTTGTACATTTAATAAAGTGGTCTAACTCATTTTTCTTATTTCAATTTTCAAACATTTATAAAAAATTTCAAATAATATTATAACTTTTAAAATAAAATATGAGCGTTCTAAACCAATGGCAATATACATATATATATATATCCTACCCAAAGTTATATAATGTGAGTCGGTGTTATTTCTCTCTTGTTTGCTTATATAACGTTTCTTTCAAAAATCTCCCATTGCCCTCATTTTCTAAAACCTTCTCTTAAAACGAGGTCAGAGACTCGAGCTATATCCCCTACCTAAGGTTATATACTGTGAGCCGTTGTTATTTCTCTCTTGCTTGCTTATATAACGTCTCTTTCGAAAATCTCTCTCTGCCCTCGTTTTCTAAAACCTTGTCTTAAAACTAAGGCCAGAGGCTCGAGCATACGTCGCTTGACCGTAGGCGATGCAAGAACGAATTGGCTTAACTCACTTGTCATTGGAAAGTGAGTACCGCACAATCGCAAATCCGCTGCCATCAAGAATGCGATTGTGACAAGTTATATATATATATATTTTGAATTTAGTAGATTTGTTAATATTATATCATTTCAAAATTTTGTATCAAGTCCTTAGATATTCAAAATTTTACTTGATTGCCCAATTGATGAGTCAACTAATTGATTTACTTTTGAATTTTATTAAAGAATCTTTGAACTATCAAGAAATTCTTATAAATTTATTAACTTTTTCTTTATTTATAATTTGGTCCTTCTCATCGTACGTAGATTATAAAATAATCTATCAAGGTAGAGAACGAAGCAACACAAGTGTCGAAAACAAGTTCGAAAAGGTGACGGTTTTCTCTTTCGTCTTTCCTTTCAACACTTACAGTTAACCTCAAAAGTCGGGGTTTTGATATGAGTTTCGGCATGCACCTCTAGAGTTAAGTTCGTATGTATGAAAGATGAAAGCTCACCAAATTTGGTGTCAAACAGATACTCGACGAATGCTGCACGAAGTTGTATGACTGCTCCCCAAAAAAACGTCTACTTGAGAAATATTAGAAATGTCTTAAAATAGGGGAGGCAGGGTGTAAGCTCTCCACTACCCCTGGACCCTGTGGCTTAAGTGAGCTATTCTATGACACATACGTGTGTCACAGTGCGAGTGTTGCGAGACGGGTATCTAGGACGATTTCCTTTGAAATGGATTTTTCAAGGATAGTATCGGACGACATAGGTGTGTTGGTATCGCACCCCAACCCATGTGTTAGAGGTTCGATCCTACACCTGCTATCCGGTACAGAGTCCGTAAATGATATGACATGAACACGAGAGAGTCCAATGCCCCAATAATATAACCTGGATGGATGATTGTTTGGATGTCCCGATAATATGAGCAATACATGTGTCCTTTTTCGATGGCATGACCGAGTGAGCTGTGATGGCCGACGACACCCTGTGACTTGGGGTGACGTCAAGACATATGAGTTGGAAACCAAGATGATTTAAGATGCAACATTGCAGTGAGAGACCTTGGCTCCAAGTAGAGGTAAGGTCGAGCCAAATGACTTAGCCTAGTGTAGAGACAAGTTGGTTGTGTCGCAGATGATTAAACATGCACGCGCAGGCGGCATATGTGACTGAACAAGCTTGGATTCTGCACAACTGATGTTCGGTGGATGAAGACAAACCTTACAAAAGTTCGACGAAGCCATAAAGCCAGATAGAAAATGAATATAAGACTTGGATTCCATTCAAGCTTGGTCATGAGCGTGTCAAGATCACGACGGTTGAAAATGTACGATCGTGACATCGGGATATTGAGCCAACAAGTAGAAAATTCTACATCGGGACCATGAATTAACACCCGTGGTTATCAAGAAAAAAAAAAAAAAAATATATATATATATATATATATATATATATATATAATATAAAAATTGGAATTTTCTTACATTAAAAGCACAAAATAAAAAATAAACCGGGAAGGGAACTTATTCCGCTTCCGGTCGTTCCGGTTTCTGGTAAATACGTCAATACTCTGAATCAAGAAGCACCAATAAATATGCAGGGTTGAAGTCGAAGTCTTCCGATCACTCTCTCCACCACCACTGACCATTGCCGCCGGAGGCACTGCTTAAAATCACGTAACTCCGCTCTATTCCGAGAGTAATCTTTTTCGCCTGAGAACAAAACTGAAGATTTTCAGGCAAAACTTTAGAGGGAAAATCCGAGCTCGGCGAAGATGAGGCCGGGACTACCGCCTCATAGCAGCCGCAGCAAATGTCACATTTCAGTGAGTGAATTGTACTGGTCTCTGGTCAACAAAGCTGACCGGAAGTTCTCCAGGATCAGGGACCTGCCTTATTACGAGCGCAATAGGTTTTTTCCGCTCTTTAATTTGATCTTTTTCAATTCTTTTGTTTGGTTTAGGATAAATTATGTGATAAATCGATCTAATATGGTGGAGGGAATAATAACTCTTATCTGGATCGTGCTTCTGTAATTTTCTTGAATGTGCGAGGAAGCAGTTGTAATTTGAATTGAGTCGCTGGCTTGGATCATTTTTCATCAATTGGAGAATTGAAGAATGTCATTTCTGAATCTTTTGTTTGGTCTAGGATAAATTGTGTGAAAACTCGATCTAAGTATGGTGGAGGGAATGATTACTCTTATCTGGATCGTGCTGCTGTAATTTTCTTGAATATGCGAGAACGCAGTTGTAATTTGAATTGAGTCACTGGCTTGGACCATTTTTCATGAATTGGAGAATTGAAGAATGTCATTTCTGAATTTTTTGTTTGGTCTAGGATAAATTGTGTGAAAAATTGATCTAAGTATGGTGGAGGGAATGATAACTCTTATCTGGATCGTGCTGCTGTAATTTTCTTGAATATGCGGAGGAAGCAGTTGTAATTTGAATTGAGTCGCGTGGCTTGGTCCATTTTTCATCAATTGGGGAATTGAAGAATGTCATTTCTGAATCTTTTGTTTGGTCTAGGATAAATTATGTGATAAATCGATCTAATATGGTGGAGGGAATGATAACTCTGATCTGGATCGTTCTGCTGTAATGTTCTTGAATATGCGAGGAAGCAGTTGTAAGTTGAATTGAGTTGTGTGGATAATTGAATAATTTCATTTCTGAATCTTTGATCGATATTTTTTCTGTTATGCTGTTCGATAACTTTTTTCGATCCCTAAGATTGGACTGTGAATTTTGGGCAATTTGGCTCTAAATGTTTCTAGGTACAATACATATTTCCACAAGGCGTTCAAAGTGTACACAAAGTTATGGAAACTTCAGCAAGGGAACCGTCAGAAGTTGCTAGATACAGGGCTAAAAAGATGGCAGATAGGAGAGATTGCGTCACGAATTGCTCAGCTTTACTTTGGGCAATACATGAGGACCAGTCAGGCGAGCTATTTGTCTGAGTCTTTTGTATTTTATGAAGCAATATTGACTCGAGATTACTTCAAGGAAGGATTATTTCAAGATGTCAGTCTTGCGTGCAAACAGTTGAGGTTTCTGTCCAGATTTCTGATTGTGTGCTTGGTTTCGAACCGAAGAGAAATGGTGCATCAATTGGTTAATCAGCTTAAAATGTTACTCGAGGAGTGCAAGAAGACATTTAAGGTGTTTCTCTCACTCTGATTTCCTTAGCTATGACTTGTTAGCAAGATGATGATGCTGAATGAATCAATTAGAGATGAGTTGCGTTGGTTGACAATTGCATCAGCTGCAGCAATGGACCTTTATGGTTTGAATTTGCTAATTTCACCTTATGTAGTCCTACCCTATATACCCCAGATGTGAGATTTCGACTTGAATGCATCATTATCTGAATTTTCTGAGAAAGTTTGAAATTGATGAATTGATCACAATTTGTGCATTTAGCGTAGTTAATTCATCTTTATGGTAGAGGGAAAAATTAATTGTCTTTGAAATTGATGAATTCATGCACATCTGACATGGTTAATTCATCTTTGTGGGACTATGTAATTGTGACATTCCTGGTGTTTTCTTTTCTTCATGTTTTATTCTTGCTCATACATTTTTTTTTTCATATTCCCGCTGTTTGCTGTTTTTAGCGGATGCATGCATAGATTTCATTTTGTGGGAAACAAAAGATGTCATTTAGATGTGATTGGAAGTGTTTACAATCTCATTCTATTGTTTTTTTTTTCAAATTTGTTTAGCATGAATTCATCAATGGCTGCTGATTTATCATTTGGATCTTGGTATAAGAGACTGATGAATCTGGGTCTGTTCTAGGAAACGGACTTTAAAGAATGGAAGCTGGTAGTCCAGGAAATAACGAGATTTTTGAAAGCAGATACAACCTTTATCAATATCAGGCCATTCAGATATAGCATTTTGTTAGAACCTCATCCAGAATCTTCGATAAGTGTTTCTCCACCAAGTACAACGAGATCCTTGAGGTTACAGGATGCTATTCTGAGTAGCTACCATCATAACGAGGTTGGGTATTGGGACCTCTTTTAGTATCTTTATGATGTCATTTCAGGCACATCCAATATAATTCATATATTCTTTTGTCTTGATTCATCTTTCCTTCCCTGGTTCTTGATCAGGTCAAGTTTTCTGAGATCACATTAGACACTTTCAGGATGATCCAGAGTCTGGAGTGGGAACCCAGTGGTTCATTTTATCGGCCAAATGCTAATAGAAGTGGGCAGAGTAGTGGCTCTGGGCCAAGTCGCAGTAACGTCACACAAGATATAGTTGATCCTACTCTCCCGTCTAATCCTCGGAAATCACTTTTATACCGTCCTTCTTTGACCCATTTTTTAGCAGTTAGTATGGATGCATACTTTCAATACACTCATAACATTTCAAGTGGCACCATTTGTTTTATTGACTTATTGAGTATTGACTGTTGAATGTGGCGAAGTGTAAACCTTTAATTGAAAATATTACCTGGTAAATGGCTGCATGGAGTCTCATACTTGTCTATATATGCAAATGAAAACAATATTTGGATAATGAACATAATTACGTGTCCAAGCGACTTCATGTAAGTTATTGGGAAATCTCTGTTATGAATACAAGAAAAAAAAGGGAGTGTAGGCTGTATCAGTTTTAGATTACCAAATGTTTTTCTTTTTTTAATTCTTGCCCTTACTTCACTTTGTCCGAGAAATTGAATAGTTGATTTCCCCCCTTAGCTTTTATAATCTAAAGTATGTGATTTATTTTGCAGGTTCTAGCTACAGTTTGTGAGGAGATGCCAAATGATGGGATTCTCTTGATATATTTGTCAGCTTCAGGTTGAGTGAACTCTTCTAAATTACATAGTTAATGATTTTCACTCCTCACTGAAAACTGTAATATTCCTTCGATATCAAACTACTTCAGACAGTGCAAAGAAAGTTTTATCTTCCCCAGCCAGCACTCAGCTGGGCGATGAGTCTATCAGCAATACAGAGGATATTGATAAACCTGAGTCTCCTTGTGGACAAGTTGAGGGAGGCTGCATAGGTCCCCAAACTGGTTGCTTATCACTCAGTGCTAGTGGAAAAGAAGGTATTTTATTGTCTTATCGGACCAAATGTGTCCCATTTTTGTTTGAAGCGGCTTACATTTCTTTATGGATCTTACTTTCTGTTAGGAATCATGGATCTCCACAATGGTATGATATTGTCCACTTCGAGCATAAGCTCTCATGGCTTTGCTTTAGGCTTCCCCAAAAGGCCTCATGCCAATGGAGATAGTATTCCACACTTATAAACCCATGATCATCCACCAAATTAACCAATGTGAGACTCACTCCCAATAATCCTTAACAATCCTCCCCTCAAACAAAGTACATTCGAAGCCTCCCTTGAGGCTTATGGAACTCTCGAATAGCCTTCTTAATCGAAGCTCGACTCCTTTCTCTAGAGCCCTCGAACAAAGGACACTTTAGTCACTTTTGACTACACCTTCGAGGCTCACAATTCTTTGTTCGATATTTGAGGATTCTATTGACATGGCTAAGTTTAGGGTATAGCTCTGATACCATGTTAGGAATCACGGATCTCCACAATGGTATGATATTGTCCACTTTGAGCATAAGCTCTCATGGCTTTGCTTTAGGCTTCCCCAAAAGGCCTCATACCAATGAAGATAGTATTCCTCACTTATAAACCCATGATCTTCCACCAAATTAACCAATGTGGGACTCACTCCCAATAATCCTCTAACACTTTCCTACTTTTATAATGAAAATTGCTGTTAACTTTGTTAACTAGATGTGCCTTACTCAGTTTAAGATCTTTTCATTGGTTCATGGATTGAATTTAGAATCAGTAAGGGAAAAATCATTTGGCAGTAATCGTCTTTTAGCTTTTATGGATTGTTTATAGTGATGGAAGGAGGGATGTTTAGAGTGTCCAGTGTTCATGAAAGTTTCCCTCGCTTTCTTATTATAGTGCATAATTTATTCTTCTAGCTCATCTTTTCGTTTGAGGTCTGAATTTATGCAACGACGAAAACTAGTAATGAATTGCTTGCGTTGGTCTTATGATCCTTAACAAGATTAAGCTGCATTCTTTAAGTATTTTTTACCTTGAATCTAATAAAACGATTTGAAGCTTTTCCTTCCATAAAATTCCAACTTCATATTAAATACTCTCCAGGACCAAGCTGCATATATCCAGGCGACTTGGTTCCATTTACGAGAAGGCCATTGTTTTTAGTTATTGATAGTGATGTCAGTGAAGCATTTCAGGTCAGTATGTCGACCTTGAATTTATTACTTTATGCCTTGGCTTTAAAATGAATTTTCTTTTCAGATTTATTTTCGGAAGAAAAGATAATCTTCCATTTACGACAATCTTCACTAGTCCCGTTACCGACATATACATAATGCTCGTCTTATACTGAAGGAAATTACTTTTCTAAATCTGCGTAGACTATCCATGGAGAAGAAAGGGGAGAGCCAGCTGCAATGCTGTTATCTTCCTGCAATGCTAGTCATGCTAGTGCTGCTGAATATTCTCGCCATGGAAGCATGTTCACTCTTTTTCTCACAGCTCCATTGCAGGCTTTCTGTGTACTGCTTGGTATCTCAGGCTCTGATGTTGAAATGGTATGGTTAAATCTCTTGTCGTGTTATGCTCGATAATTCGCACTTTTAGGTTGTCAAAAAAAATTTACAAAAACATAAATGGTTTAGGTTGCATTTAACAAAGCGGAGAAAGTGCTGTTCTCTTCGATAATCGAGTGGGATCAGTCTCTGGTGACATTAGACAACCTTGATAAAGGGTGGTCACAGATTTTGAATGATCCGTTCATAAGGCGACTTCTCTTGAGGTAAGATTCATCACTTTTTTTCTAGAAGATTTAAAATTCTCAGCATACCCTTAGAGCTACATTATTCATGAACTGCTTGAATGTTAGGATAAATTGATTGATTTCCAACTAACTGAAGATGTCCAAATTCACCTGGTTACTTTATGCCGTGGCCAATGAGAACTAATAGTCGAGGCTGGCAAATTATAAGTCGACTGAAAAGATCTTAAAACATTGTTAGTAGGGAATCTCATGTTCCCTAATTTAGGAAATGATCATAGGTTTATAAGTAAGGAATACATTGTTAGGAGGGAATCTCATATTCCCTAATTTAGGGAATGATTATATGTTTATAAGTAAGGAATACATCTCCATTGGTATCAGGTTTGTTGGGAAAGCCCAAAATCAAAACCATGAAAACTTATCCTCAAAGTGGATAATATGGTGGATAATATCATACCATTGTGGAGAGTCGTGATTCCTACCATTGTGCAAACTAAAATCCTTACTTCTTTAATTAATGCTAACAGATTTATATTCACTCGAACCGTACTAGCACTTTACGCGCCAACCTTCGGTAAGAAGGAATTTGTGCCCATATGTGTGCCAATTCTGCCATCCTTTTTCGACCCGACAAGCGAAAGTGTGCAATCTGTGGTCGTGAAGATAGCAAATATTTTTGGTGTAAGCAGCAGCTTTGTCTTCTCAGAAAACCTGGTAGCTCCTGAAAGTAGCTCTTAAAACAAGCAAGTCGATTTTTTTTTTTGTTTCAAAAACATTCTACGATTCATTGGAACATGAAATAAAATAAAAGAGGTACCATGTATATTTTTAGCAACCTTCAATATTGTGTAAATGGATATATAGTTTCTCTTGTGTGTGTGATTGAACTGTACGAAATGCTGTAGAAAAGTGCTTGAATGAGCCATTTCAATCACGATGATAGTGATACATCTTAGGTGTGAATGAATTAGCCTATAATTTTTACTCAAATCCATGATAATATCTCAATGAATTATAAAATATATTTTTAAAATGAACTTAATAATTCGTGTGAACTAAAAAAATATTTATTTTTCCCTAAAATATAAACATGAAATTTTGTATAATGAAAAATTATAAAATAACTTTATCCATTTATCTTTAAAAAGAATCCATGGAATTAAACCCATTGTTTTTCAATCTCTTTTTTTTTCTCCCTTTCCTTTTTTAGAATAAAAATTCCTTTTTTTTTTTTTTTTTTTTTTTTTTTTTT